GACTCAATCAGCTGATCGAAGATCACATGCCAAAGAAACATTACTAACGAGACTTCTGTTCTTCTCTTTTGCTCACCTTCAAGCAAAGCTTGCGACTCGGCCAGCTGATGGAAGACCACATGGTAGATGGGATTTTAAAAATACATGTTGCACCAACGATCCATTCTTTAATCACAGCAACATCAAAGCAAAATTTTCTCCACAACCACTAACGTGTGTTTATGGGGACTGATGAATGACTAAGATCAATGTTATGTTCGCTGGTTTTCATCAACATGGAAGAAATATTAGAATATCTTTAGCTAATCCACGGTCACATATCAGATGAATTATTCTAACGAAAGTTTTGTTCACTTATTTCATTCATTCGACGTCAAAATAAGTGCATTCGTTGTAGTTCATTAACTATAACATAACTAGTGAATTGTGATGACGCTTGAAGCGCTGATAATGGTTGTGTTCACATATGCTTTCATCTCACTGTGAAGTTTGAGTCAAAGCCCGTCAATCTAACTATTGATCGATGAGCAAATAAAAGTTGAATGATTCTCAATACGAGAGTTTCATTTACATAGTTTCCACACCCGAATTGAAAGATGGTATATTTGTAAGTCAGAAAAGATCATGTGTCAAATGAATATTCTTCATCACTACTATGTTTATCTATCGTCTTTATTTCGAAACGAAGATTAAATGTTACTGTATTGATCAATGATAGTATGGCTACTGAATAATTATTATTGGGATTTCGTTCACTTATCTTATCCGCTTTGAATTAAAACACCAAAATCAAGTTCAACATAAAATGATCTTATAATATATAAACGATCATTTCCCAAAAGTTTTGTTCATTCATATTTACACATGTCCAAATAAATGATGCAAATAAATGTGTTGAGTGCAGATGATAAAATTCATGAATCAATATGACGCTGTCGATGAACTAATTCATCTATCTCGTCAGTTGCATTTGAATGTAAACATAAAAGATTGTCAATGGATCGAAAGCTTACAAAGAAGTCGAATTGTTATAATCTTTATCGCTCCAATTATTTTATTCACCACTGTTGCATATATTTAAAAAAGAGTTTGGAGAGTAAGGTTTTTTGAATTATAATAAGGTTAATGAACCATTCTAATTCTTGTAATGAGCGTGTTCTCCAATGCCACTCACTTTTTGCTTATCTTTTTTGTGCCATTAAATGGATTAAAGTTTAGATGAAACAAGAATAGTTTTTATTTTGGATGTTATCGTCACCTATTTTACTTGTTACAATGAAAAGGTTTCGATCGACAAAGATGTTCAATAATCATAACGCATATGACTTGTTACCATCCACTGCCAAGTTTCTAGATCATCTTGTTCATGTGTTTCACCCATAGCGAAGCAAAAATTCAAGAAAGAAGAAACTTGTCAAGTGTCATTGATAAAATGAACATATATCATCGCCGGTAGATTCCGTGGACTTATTTCGTCTGCATTATAATTACTATTTTGATATGACAGCTCATCGCTGCACGTATGTCAAAGGAATGATTTGAATAGTACAAAGAGTCAGGTTCGTCTATTCCAGTAACTTCAAAGCAAAACTGTCGAGTTTCTAAGCACGAAGATGATGGTTAATCAAAGGAATTAGTCCAATCAATGTTACATTCACTTATTTTCTTTTAACTTCAAAGTGAAGGATTGTAGTTCATCAATGGATTCGAGATTCTATGAAAAACGAATGATTATAACGGCATTTGCCGCAATTGGCGCAAGCGTTCTATTTTAAAATCTTGCTCATTGGAAAGGGAAACACTCAAGTTAGTGTGAGGACCGAATATTCTGTCAAACATAAACCATACTTATGAAAATTTTGTTCGCTTATTTTCGAGTTTTTAGAGTAAATCCAAAAGTTCTTAAATGAATTATCAGTCATGTAAGAAGCGAATGAATAGAACGACCATTATCATCCTGTTCAATTATTGTCCATCTTGCAAGTGAAAGCTCTTTTTCCAATACCAAGTTAAAAAGTTATACAATATATGGTTGCTGATGACAATAGTTTTGTTCATCTACTTTTCGCTTTTCGGAATAAATACTTGCAGATATTGTGTTAATCAATGATAACATGAGAAATACATAATTTCGATCAAGTATCTGATAAGCACCTGGTGGAGCAAATTCTTGTTCTAAACACAAGTTGTAAGCATTCGAAGTAAACTTAAAAAATTAAGCTGAGTGATCTTTCTCTTTACATATAGAAGTTCTAAGCAACATTTGAGTGTGGATGTACTTGTTCTCTTAACTCAAACACATACCCACACCCGCATATTAGAGACCATACGTGACCATGATTTTTAAACACGGTCATGATCACGTATGATCATAACCGTGACTCATGACCAATTTGGAAGTCTCTGCATATTAGTGAAAAAAACCTGATGATAAGCAGGAAGATGATGACGAAGATTGTACTTCAAAGAAAGGCAATATTAATGGAGACCATGGATATAAATCTCTAAGTGATGATTATAAAAGTAAAAATGAAAGCTAGTAGCCATCAGAATAATAGTAAATTTGTAATTCGTACTAAATAATCTTGTTCTCTTTGTATCATTTTTTGTTGATTTTAATTAGGAATAAATATAAAATATGAACATAATAAAAAGTTTCAATTTTTCTATTTCAATTGAGTTAAGAGCAATATATTAGTGGCGAATTTCTGATTTTGAGACAGGAGGCAATCATGGTCACAAAACGTGTTTTAAAGCCCATGAAAGATCATATCGGCTTATTTTTGAGCATTTTCCGTTGAGAAAAATTGAAAATATTTCGGAAAACAGGAGCGATCCTTCTGGCACTCCATCTAAATCTGTCACTGCGAGATATGTTTTTTTCATTTATTTGCTCAAATATTATTGGTCACGGTTATATGTGGCCCTGATCGTGACTCGTGACCAATTTGCAGGTTTCTATTTAATTGTCACTTTTAAAGCCGATTCTTGATCAAATTATGGGCAAGTAAATAAAGGGATTCAATCCATACTTATAGCTTCTCGAGGTTCTAAATTGACAAATAGGTGAGTTCTCATGTATATTAACTAAGCAGTTCACAAGCGCAACTATTTTTGACTCTATAATACCAGACAATGTTCCTGTAAGACTAAACTACAGGAGAATGAGGTTCTCTCTGGATATACCAGCCAAATTTTAGAGAAAACGCTGCTTCTTCAACTTAAACTTGCACAGCATGTAGTTGAATGTATCAATATCAGATACAATAACTCCTAGAGTTATCAAACGATTTTGAAAGTATTAATTTTCAAATTACGAATTGAACTTAGACATTTTGAATCGAATCGTAAAAGTTCAAATAGTCCTAGAATTATATCTGCAAAACGACATACGAATCTATCTATTTCATAATAATCAGTTACAATGAAATGCTTCTTCTACATAAAAACACAACAAACGAGAATCTGTGCTGGAGGACAAAATACAGCAATCAGTTCTCATTGATGATCTATGACTCACAAAAATAAAATAATCAAATTGCTTAGCTATTCTAGAATAGATTACTCGGCTGAATTTTGATATTTAATGTTTCCCAATATGTTTAAGCACTTACTTTGTTCTTTTTCTTTGGCTTTGATACGCAACTGTTGTATTGGTCTTTTTAGCAGTGGAATATCAGATCCGTTGTTACGGATTTGAGTCTTCAATTGTTCCCGCTCCTTTTTCAGTTGGTCGATCTCATGTGTATATTTGGGAATTTGATCGTGACATTGTTGCAACTGCACATTCAATCGTCGAATCTCAGTGTTATAATTCTCTATTTGAGTTTTTTGTTCCGTTGTTTGTTTATTCAATGTTTCAATTTCCAATCGAAGAGGCTCGAAAATGCATGTTTTCAAATGATCTTCAAGTTGATTCTGTAATCCTAACCAAGGACATTTGATATGTGCTGATGAACAACGTACGTTTACCTGTAAAAATATCTTTTGTAACTATGACAGATAAAAAAGGGGAAAATAGCAAAACTTTAATGACTTGAAAAATATTGTGAAAGTTATTGAAGTCGTATTTTTTTCCAAATTCTACATAAATTACCTTTTTCTCAGCGTTGTCGACACAGATAAGAGAACTCCAATCGATTTGTTTAGTTCGCTCTACATCCAACTTAATAGATGGTGGTTCAGTTATTCGGCTAAACTTTTCTCGAAGTAAACCGAAGTTTTCTTCGATTAATTTAATATTTTTTTCAACATAGTTCTTCGTTTCTTGGAGTTTTTGCAATTGTTTAGTTATTTCTTCAAGTTCTTGCTCTACATCCTTAATTTTGTTAAGCAGTAATTCTTTCACTTGGTTTCTTGCCTCGTCAGCTGATTGATGCACTTTTTCCATAATTTGATTCTGCCATTCATCGATTTGAGAAAGTAGCGTACCTTGTAGACTATTCATTTGCTCTCTTTTGTTTACGTCGTCTTGAAAACTGTCACGAATCCCCACAAGCTTTAGTAATTCTCCTTCAAGCGACTGACGATGTTCAGTGAAGTGTCCAATACAATAGCGTTCATTGCATCCAGTACAAATACAAATTCCTGATTCTTTTTTGCATACTGAACATAAATTTTCCGTATCCATTTCCGAAAGGATCGATTATGAATTGAATAGATATTAGAGGATAGCGTTAATTTACCTATAGAAGTAAAGTATACTGATCGTTATGCAGATGAGCTTGATATCTTTAAAACAAATGCAAGAATAGAACAATCGAAAGAAGCAATAAGTCAAAATTAAATAAATCGTCTAACTGATTTGCTTCCTACCAAAATTACTCAACTCACATAGATTATTACTCATAAAAAGTTATCAAAACTCTATTTCTCAGAAGGTACGGCAGACTTTGATTAATGTTATGAAGTGCATTCAGCAGAATAATTAAGCTTTTTTGAATATTCATTTTCGCTTTTTCAGATCAACTATCCAAGGTTGTACACGGCTGTATGCCAATTAATCACGACAAGAACGTCAACCATATAAGGTGACCGTCTACATCAGTCATAAACGATGGTTTACGATGTATTACGACAATTGTAAGGATTGGCGGCAAAAAAATTGCCGTTACAGACTAAAACCATAATACGGTACTGTAAATGATGTTTGGATAATATCACAAGGGATCACATACGCCAGCTGCATCTCCATCAAAAAGTCGAACGTCATATCAAACAAAATTTTATACGATCATATATATATAAGGTTTTTTATTAGATCGTATCATAAGATTTATCAAAGTCGTACTCTGAACACAATCACAAAACTTCAACTAATTCTTACTGCACCTTCTCAAGCAGAAATCTTACAAGAATCCCAAGATACGAAACGTACAATAATATCTATTTTGATAGTCGCCTCATCATATAAGATTAGATATCATCAAAGAAATTCATAACATCAGAAGATATGAATCTGATACGATCGTACCCAATTAGATGTAAAAATTTGTCTGAAACTGTGATCTAAAGGCTTCTATGAACCTATTCGAGAGTTACGAATTTCTAAACCCTAAACAAATGTTTCAAAATCTGTGTGCATCGACTTAGAGATAGATATGTAACACTACCTAGTGATACATATCGATGGTATACGGAAATTTGGCAGAATGAGAAAACGTCGAAGGTAAAAAGTATCGACAACAAAAAATATTAAAAATGATACTCTGCAATTTGCGCACATAATATTTATGTGAAAGTACAAGAAATCAATGCTTCTACAGATTGTCTATACAGCGTTGGTAGAAGAATATGCTTTAGGCCTACTGATATTATTTTCGATATTTTTCTTTCAGTACGTTATGGTCTGTACATTATATACGTTTGCATGCATTTGTAAACAGTAGTATATACTGCTCTTTTCGTTGGAATACAATCGTGTTATCGCACGGATATCAGCGCATGTGATGTTTATGTTTCGTCGTATCCGACACAGAGTCGTACGATTGTAATACTGTTCCTGCCAAACAGGCAATTTATAGTCCGTATATGATCATGATTGTATCGTTTACATGTATTTACATCATCGTAAACGTTAGTATACAGTCATTTTCGATCGTCGTAATGATCGAACTGGATTATATTTGTTGATTCTGAGAAAATTTGCTTGTCACTACATAGCATATAGCATATATCCTTTTAGTCATACTTGGATCTACAAAATATGCGACATACTAAATCCTTTTTGAAAATAATAAGAAAATCTTCTAAGATTCGTTACGTAGTCACAGATACATTCGTAACATTTTGTAAAGAAAGGCTTTAAAACTGTAGAACTTTATAACCGTAGCGACTTACTCAATGAGATCTTTGTGAATAGGGGTCAGTGTTAAAAGTCTTCAAGTGATAAAAAAAATCCTACTGATATGCTTTTTATTCACTTACCTTAGATGCGAGAAAAAAGAAAAATGCATGTAATCTTTCTTCTTTTATAAAAAAAAAGAGAAGCGCGCAACATTATTTCATTTTTCTCTCAAAACAAGCTACTTGAGGACACATGTATGTGTCATCAGTTTGTCAACAAAAGCTTCAAGAGTTGCTGCATAATATATAGTAGTAGCAATGAAGTGCTGCATATGATCGAAAAAAACATAGAGTAAATAATAGAATTACACCATGATAGTGTAATTTTGAGACATGAATTATGAGACCTTTAGCAGAGCTTTCGTTTACAATTTGATTCAAGCTACTTCTGTGAAGAAAATAGTGAGCATCTCCGTTGGAGATAAATTTTCCCATGAACGATTGAATTTCATTTTATGTTACGGATTATTCATTGCATACAACAATTGAGATGTAACAAGAATTAGTAAAAAAAAACTGATTGAATTTCAGAATAAATTCAATTCAGTTGATTTGAATTACATGAAGCCTGGAAAATGACCATTTCGATAACTAAAACCATGGAATAAATGCAAAGATCACAGTTTCCATGTTTTCAAAGGGTTTAATAATTTTTATCAATATTTATGTGCAAGTTTTTGTACTAATGTCAATAAACTGTTTACAAGAGGTGCGTTTTCTTGATCGTCTGTTGAGTACATCCACCTCTTCCTTCTCAAATATCGATTTTCAACACAGTGCATAGTATTTCCATGAAACTGTCCGCAATTGTTGAAAATACTAAACTTAAGTTACTAAATCATTTTAACATCCTCAAAACTCAGTGCTGAGAAGTATTCTAAAGATCAGGGCCCAACATGGATCCTCTGCATATATAAATTTCTTTTTACTGTACTTCAAGATACAGAACTAGGAGTTATTTTATTTAACGAACTCTTTACTATTTCGGGTGTAAGGAACGAATACTTTTTTAATTCATCTTTGTTCCATTTTGAGGAGGTCCAAAACCTAAACACCAAAATCTTATCCAAATTTTCTAGAAAAGTCAGGATTTATCTTAGATAGACGATTAATTATTAAGTAATTTCCCAGCATCTAAAGCACTATGCATGTGTCCGTCGATAAAAAGACACAGGTCTCTAGCATGAATTACACTGGAAAATAAATTGTTCACAGATGGATTATTCTCGTGGAAATCAATTTTGAGAAAAATTTCTTTGTATAATCTCAATATTGTTTCTTAAAATGGTGCAAAAGCATAAACTTATTCTGTGTCAATTGAAATACTTTTCCATGTAGGTTAAACTATTCTCGTTCTCACCCTGAGCAAGATACCTTCCATCAGCCTATTGCCTTTCGTTCAACAATAAAATATATAACGGGATTTACAGCAAAATCCCAAAAAAATCAAAAAAAAAAGTAATCCAGAAACCTGATGAGGAGCGAAACACTTGAGTTTCTCTTACTAACAGAAAATTCCACATAACTTTTAATACTTTGTGAAAACTGACATAATTGTCAGATGGAAGTATGAATGTAAGACACATTTCAATCTTCTTACTTCTTGCAAAGAAAATTAATCTAACAGAGGATGATGCTACATGTATCTTTTATACAAAAAAACGTAATTTTCATCACCCTCAAAAATCATGATTTTTGAGAAAATATCTTCGATGATATTAATTACCTGGTTTTGGCTACTTTATCGAAGAGAAATATAACTTTGTGCTTTGAAAAATATATTTCAATGAGCTCAAAAAGTTCGACAAAAAAAAACTTAAAAGCTTAGTCCTACCACGTCCAATTTTCCGACCACGCCAGCAACACGGATTAGAAAAACCTTATGCAAATATTATGATAAAATGAATGAAACGAAAATATATTCTTCTCAAATAAAGACTAAAGCTAAATCTGGTGAATGAATAAAAAAAAACAAATTTTCCGTAGATATTCCATTTGTTGGCAAACCAACAGAAATATTTAAAAAAACGAGCTTATTAATCTACTAATACAGATTCAACTTATAGCTCGTTCACCACCAATATTTGAACTTTTCCTAGTAAAAGATCTAATACCTAGATAAATTCAATTTAATATTGTCTACATGATTTATTGTTCAAATTGCAAAGCTACATACATCTGTAAAACTGTAATGCAAGCAACCAGAAGACTACTAACACGGTATTAACCAAATATGTTGACACACATAATCTCAATCATCAGTGTTAATTTTTTGATCTTGATAATTAACGTAGATCTGACAGAAACAAAGAAAAAACCGTAAAATTTTTTTTTGCAAAAAAGAGAAAAAAAAGATAATTTTAACAAAAAAGGAGAGGCAGTTGGATTGGCGGTAAGACAACATGAAATGAAGGCGAATCATAAAATTGATTAGTCTGATTGCCAGATCATTACGAAAGATACAAAACATTATCGGTTATTAGTCAGAAAATCATCAGCAATAGTTGATCATCAAACTATATTAAATAAAACACTCTGATCTACACCATTAATAATTTATTCAATGAGATTACAATCAAAGAAACTGAAAGTAAAGATGAAAAAAAAAAGCCGAAGTTCTATACCAAAGTGTAGTCTCGATCTAATAGTTACATTTGATGTTTGGCAATTTCTTGGCACATCATCATGGATCTCGCGATTCAGAATACTTCACTTGTAGCTCACCATGCTTTTTCATTGTTACTCGATTAAATAACATACAAGTCTCAACAATGCCCATCATCAATCAGAATACATTTTGTCCTTATGAATATCTGAAACCAATACAAATAGCAAAATTGTAAAGAGTTCAACATTGAATTCGAATGAGAGATTAAAAAATTGATTCGTTTCCGCTAGAATTAAAGCGAAATATTTTCCTTAGTTTCAATTAAATTGACGCATGATCTAAGTTACTAGTACGCATATCAAAACAATAATAATTCATAGCAAAGTTCTTAACTGGACACGACAAATGGTTCAGTGACATATCTTGTAGGAACTATGCTGAAATTTGTCGACTTTTACTCGAAACAGCAGACCTGAAAGGTGTAACCATTGATT